CGGCGTTAGGTATTTTAATCAAAAGTGAACTTTGTCGAAAACGCTCCAAATTTCGCATGCAGTTTTGTTTAGGTATGTTTAGCAATGTCCGGTAGTTTTTCTGCTAAGCTTCACTTTGTTTTCGAGATATTGCGTATGCAAAAAAACCACTTGGTTTTCCTAGCGGCGTCTTCATAAACGAAGCAAAAACCAGCGGAAAAAATACAGGACTACGTTTTTCTATTACATTGAAGACCACATGCAAAAATTCAAGCCCTTTCGCGAAAATTTTTTTTTCACCCAAATCGTCACTTAGCATGGTTTTGCACTCACCCCTTCAATTATCTTGACCCACACCATTTTCACGTAGAGAATCTAACAACAGACCACATTGCTCCATTGTGAGAATTATCTGAACATGTTGTGCAAACTATTTGATAAGCAGAAGTTATTTCGCAAAGGATTGGGCTTTTCTTTAAGCCAAGAAATGTACAGCTTACACTCTAACACATTTGTGCTACGCTCCTTTTTACATTTCTTCTCAGTTATTACAGAATCTAATTTAAAAGACACGCGTCTTAATCGAAAGAGGCCACCAACTCTGGTAAGTTCTGATGCAAAATTGGAAAGGGTACTTAAAGTTGTTTTAGCAACCTTAGAAAATGCTAGTCAGTGGTAATTTCCAGTGGACTCACATTCCTTCCTATGAATATAACACCAGGCTTTAAATTTACTTATTCCTTTGTCATTCAAGCTAAGTAGTATTTGCATAATTGTTTATAAAAGAAGGTTAGTCTTCATTGAAGCAGTCTGATGCTAATTCCAGTTTCAGCAACCCAAAGCAACTACAGTCAAGCCTGTATTAACCGGACCCCATATTAAGCGAACACTCTCTATTAAATGGACCGCAGTGCAAGTCCCATTTTTCTTTTCGCACTTTTGCTGTAAAAAATACCTGTATTCAACGGGCGCCTCTATTAAGCAGACACAGACACCTTAAACTTGACCTCTATGGTCATTTCTATTGTCAAAAACCTGTATCAAATGGACACAACAAACAGAATGCATGATTTTTTTGTTCACGTTTTAGCAGATCAATCATTTGCTTGCCAACAAACTGAGCTGTCACAGAAATGCAGTATTTTGTTATTCGGTTTTGTTTTCACAGAACTTTTCTTCTTGTTTGATTTTGTAAACCTTCACATGATTCGATCAATATAGATACTGTTACTGTGTTATTAAATCACTTTACCTCATATACTTGTCATTGTTTATGGAA